AGTAAGTATCTACAGTCGGCATCGCTGCGCCATTTTGAGAAGGCGGCACGACATGAGAACCCTCTCATCGTAGCCGCTGGAAATTACATACCCGACCCAGTAGACCGAATGGTAAACCGTCGACGTCGCCCAAAGCACGTCATTACGGATCCTCCTGATCCATTAACGGTGCTTTTAGGCACCACAAGCACCGGTCACCGTCCTCGTCGAACCCGTCGCTTGCAACGAAGGGCTCGACGAGCGAACTAACCCATAGACACAGCCCACTGAGTTTCTCGCCGGATCTTCTCAGTGGGTCGCGTTTCCAATCCGGTGGTAGATTCTGCGAAGCACTGCTCTTGCTAGGGTCAGTGTTAGCAACTCTCCGGTTGAGCCCCGCGAGCTCACCTACTAACGTTAGGGCGAAGCTGAAATAGCCTCTCAAGGCTATCAGCATAGGTAGGAAAAAAAAAGAAGAAAAAAAAAAAAACAACATTTATTTTTTCTAAGGTATTGCCCCTTCCTAGGCATTGAAATTTAGACAATGAGTAGTTGAAATTTAGTTTTCGTCTTTGTATATGTGCTCAAAATGTTAAGGGAATTTGACCAATGAAAAAACATTTTAAATTGAAATGTTGTACACTTTTCACGTTTTTAAGTCGGAATTTAAAAATAAGCCTTTCTAATGCCTGAATTCAAAACTCACTCGCATATAAAAAAATCCAAGAAGAAGTTTACCTTTTTTTATTTCATAAACGGGTGGACGAGCTCACAGCCCACCTGGTGTTAAGTGGTAACTGGAGCCCATAGACATTTAAAACGTAAATGCGCCACCCACCTTGAGATATAAGTTCTAAGGTCTCACTATAGCTACAACGGCTGCCCCACCCTTCAAACCGAAACGCATTACTGCTTCACGGTAGAAATAGGCAGGGTGGTGGTACCTACCCGTGCGGACTCACAAGACGTCCTGCCACCATCCCACTCTTCTAGGGTTTTATGCATTATGTATTCATCATAGATGTTAAAAAGTATGGCCGAGACGTTGCAACCCTGGCGCACTCCTTTCTCAAATCGGAACTCGGTTGATTGAGCTGGGGCGATACGTACCGATTCCTATCCCGATAGGTACACGGTTCTCGCTAGGGATATCAGCTGGATCAGATGTATGGGAATGCCCATGTCCTTAAGCACATACCATCAATGTTTCCAACTAACGCAGTCAAAGGCTTTTTGGTAGTCGACGAAGCATAGGACGGTCGGGATGTTATACTTATTGAACTTTTCTATAATAAGCCCTACGTTGAGTATCTGTTCGCGAGTACCCTTTCCCCTAACAAATTATGCTTGTTCTTGTGGAATTAGTCTAGGAAGTCTTTAAACCTTAAGTTTGGTAAACCTTAAGTGGTATGCAGCAGTACTTTGCTAGTTTGTGATATCAGGGCAATAGTTCTATAATTGTCACACCTTCTGGTAGTGCCTTTTTGTGTAAGAGCAGTATCGCAAAGTGAGTCCAATCCTTTGGCCATTCACAGCTTTGCCATATTGAGTTGCATAAGTCTACAAGTTTCGCAACTGCCTTCTCTACGAAGCTCTTCAAAACTTTGTCGGTAATATTGTCGATGCCGACTGCCTTATTTGGTTTTAATTTCCTAGTAGCGGCAGCTACTTCTGCGTATAGAATATCCAGCACCAGCTCCATGTTGTATATATTGCATCCTTCCAGAGGATCAGAACCATGCATAGCGTGCTCAAGATGATACAAATCAGCGCAATACTCACTCCATCTCTCTGCAACTTTATCGATCGCCGTGATGATTTCCCCATTTCTGTTCTCAATTGCCCATGATTGAGCATTAAGCTGTCGCGTTAATAGTCTATAATAATAACAGTCATTTTGAGTGTGGTTGGAGCCTTTAATTGGATTTTTTTAGCAACACGAACGATTAGCGTATCTTCTGTGGGAGAAGGTTCTTGTTAGCCGAGCCTTTCTAAGAAGATTTCAACAGTTCCATGTTTTTAAATTTATCAATTGCATTAAAAATTTTCTTAACAGAACAATTTAAAGGCTCAGATATTCTTCTGTATGCCCACTTATGATCTATATATACATTAACAATTATTTGCCTAGTTGACGAGTCACAACTTTTATTTTTGCCCATTTTGAATAAAATTAGATTCAGATTAAATTTTGAATGGCCGAAAAAATAATAGAAAAAACCAAGAAAGAAATGTCTTTCTCCAGTTTCAAAGAAAGATCGAGCTATGGATCGTTTTTTAAATGTTGGGGGCTTGTTTAAAGGTTGTAAAATTGGGCGTCGAAGCGTATAGTAACAGAAAATAAACTACTATATGTGTGACTTATTTTGTAATTAAAAGTAAGAGCTATGTTTTATATTTTATACATTTAATGAGTTTTTTATTTGAGTGGCTATATTATTGCATGATTATTAATAATTATAATTATTGAATGCGTATATTTTTTACGAACATTTTAATATTTGTAAAAAATATTAACTTTCTTTATTCATAAGAAGTCTTTCTAATTATATGACTACCACTGTATGTGCGAGTGGACTGTAAGTGATCTACCCAATAAGAGCAATTCAGATCAATCAGAAAGTCGGGACAAGTATTTTTGAATGTAATAATCTACTTCACCGTTTTGTAACATTTACTTTAAATTGATATACATATGAGATAGATATTCTAGATTCACTGAATCAATCGCTTTAGGGTTCCGTGTAAATTTTAATAGTCTCAAGTCGTATCTGCCATGAGGTGAATGTACTGGTACTTCAATTTTTTTATGATATTTTATTTGTATTATGGTCACATGACGTGTTGTTCACGAGTCGGAGCGTGCTAATATCATTCTTAATTTTTTCGATTACAGTCGAATTTGTACTTTGTTGCACAGTAGTTAAGGTCACTATTTAGAGGGACGAGGTGATCTATAAAATATGCGGTTTATGAATATAATTTAGCTTCGCAGTTCACATGTCGAAATATCGTAGGTTTTTTGGATTTTTTGTTTAAGAATTAATATCATTGAAAGCCTTATAAGCATACGATGTACGTAAAATTGAATACTATAATCAAGCGTTAGCAAAACGATGTTACAGATGTAGTGATAAATTATTTTCCTTCGGGAAAACTCGGAACCTTTATCGGATTACGATGACACCCGAACTGTCAATGAATGATCGTAGTAAATCAATGACATTTTCATATCCATTAATATCATAGACCTATATAGTAGGGACGCGACATATTATTATATACGTACAATTGCTTATATAAATGGCACCCATTTTGAAGGCACACACATAAACATATATTTATTTCGTTCTTACTCAGCACTGTAACTCGCAGGAAATCAATATAACAGTATTTCAGTGCGTACATAAAGTGAAACATGAATATACGTAAATACCTAATGAGGTCGAAAATCCGCCATATTTAGCGCACCAAATGTCATTGTCAGTCAGTTCAACCATCTGTCTTGGGTTGTACATTATTTATCAACTTTGATATCGATTTAATATGATTGCTTTTATAAAATTTCTTATTTTATCACACTACTCCGTTTAAAACATACAAAAATAATAATTAAAACATATTTTATAGGATCCCAAGAAAGTCGATGTTCAAGTCGATAATCGATAGTCGATAATCAAGGTACATAAAATCATTACGTACTTCACGTAAATTCTGAAAGCTGATTTTTACGTATATTTTAGGCAATCTCCTTAAAAATAAGTCGCCAGTACTCCCAGACACTTTTCGTCGGCCGAATGGCCTAGCAAACGCTTTAAAGCTCCCAAAATAATTACCTAACTTCACGTAAATTCTGATGCTTCATTTTTATATATATCCACCAGACAACTATTTTAAAACCTTTTACAAAAAGACAGATCGATGCAAGGGGCCAATCGTCCCCTAAATTCAATTTTAATACCTCTGTGCGTAAGAGCGCGAGGGCATTATCCACGCGCATGAGCATGAGTGAGACATGTATTAGTATATATTGATTTCTTTGTCTCTCTATCTCTCTCTTACAGTTGACTCATATCAATTAACTATTAATATTAAAAGAAAATCAGTTAAAAATTAAATAATTAGGTAAACTAGAGGTCCCGCAGTAGTCGAAATTCGACTATAATTAATTGGAATTGTAAGTTTGTACACTATTATGATTGTATTTTATACTTCTATAATCACAAATTTCGTCAAGACTACACTATAAAAATATTAACAAAGACAAAC